TCCCAGATCTGGTGGATGAATGTGCTGATATTGGTCAGGGCTGGTTACTTATATCCTGGACCCCGGCTTCTAGAGGTAGCAGGGACTTGAACCGGGGTCTCTCTCATCCATACTACACTCTAACTATTATCCTGCACTGGCTCTGGGAGGCAGGGAGATACATGGCCAGAGAAGAAGCTAGGAAAGAGGCAGTGTGGTGTGAAGGGAGAAGATGAGACCATGTTAGAAAATGCTGTTAGGCCTGATTTGACAAAGGGACATGTGAACATCCGAGCAGGGCAGTGGATCTAGGCCCTCTTCCTCCAGTGCATCTCCTAGAGAGAAGGAGCTCCTTCTTGACAGAAGCTTTCTTCCACGATCAGTTAAAGAGAGGCAACCACAAGAACATCAGAAGAGCCCTGCTGGATCAGACCAATAGTCCACCTAGTCCAGCTTCCTGTCTCACCCAGTGGCCAACCAGCCAACAACAGGGTATAGAGACCAAGCCCTTCCCCTGATGCTGTCACTGAATGGGGAGGTTCCCCTCAGCCACCATGGCCAGTAGCTATTGATAGACTGATCCTTCATGAATCTATCTCATCCCTTTTTAAAGCTGTTTATTCCTGTGGCCATCACTACATCCTCTAGCAGCGAATTCCACATTGTAACCAATCTCTGTGCAAAGAAGTGTTTCCTTTTGTCCGTCCTGAACCTACTGCCCATCAGCTTCATTGGATGCCCTCCAGGTCTAGTATTTTGGGAGAGGGAGAAAAAGTTCTTTGTCTCCGCTCCATGCATGATTTATAAACCTCTACCATGCCCCCAGCCCCCCGTCGTCTCTTTTCTAAAGACGGAAGAATCTTCAGCCTTCCCTCCTAGGGAAACTGCTCCAACCGCCTAATCATCTTGGTTGCCCTCCTCTGGACTTGTTCCAGATCTGCAGTTGTCCTTTTGGAGATACAGTGACCAGAACTGCACGCAGTATTCCAAATAAGGCCGCACCACAGATCTATACAGGGACATTACAATATTGGCCATTTCATTCTCAATCCCTTTCCTAATAGCCCCTAACACAGAATTTGCCCTTTTCACCGCTGCTGCAGCACACCTGGGTCGACACTTTCACTGAGCTGTCCACTACGACCCCAAGATCCTTTCCTCCCTCAGTTTCAGCAAGTTCAGACCAGGGGTGTAGACAGGAATTGCGCACGGGGGGGGGTAATTAAATTAAAAGCACAGTGCAGTGGAGGGGAGGGAGAGGGAGGGGACGGCCGAGCCAGCAAAGAAGGTGAGAGCCCGGGCAGTTTTATGGAGGACGAGCAATGGCTGTCTTCCATGGCCCAGGACAGCGGCACTATCAAGCACTGGAAGTGCTTCTGAGACGAGAGTTTGCACTGCATCCCCCCATGCAAAGGGTGCAGAGAGAGGCTGGGTGTTTTTAGCCTCCCCGCCTCCCGGGTAGCAGCATCAGGTCCAAGCCTGGGGGAGAGGAACAGGCAGGACTGGGGAGGCTGTTGCAGTGTGCTGCACCACTGAAGCCTGTGCCAAATGCTCCCCCAGACTCCATCCTGGCCAGGGGGGTGCTGCTTGCGGGCTCTGCGGCTTTTGCAACTGGTGTGGCACCACTTGCACTTCACTCTTTGGGCAGGTGCCGGCTTGTCAGGCAAGCCAGTGAGCCCAAACAGTGCTGGGTCTCAGGCTTCTCCCGCTACTTCCTCCTGCTTCCATGTGGGAAGACTGGGAACAAGTGGGGTGGTGGCGCTGCAGATTCAGTGAGGGGCACCACCCCCAGCGCCCCACCACTGGCTACGGCCCTGGTTCAGACCCCATTAGCTTATACTTGAAGTTGGGATTTTTTTTTGTCGCCCACTCACCCAGTTTGTAGAGGTCCTCTTGGAGCTCTCCACAGTCAGCCTTGGCTTTCACCATCCTGAATAATTTTGTGTCATCTGCACACTTGGCCACTACACTGCTCACCCCCAGTTCCAGATCATCAACGAACAGATTCAATAGTCACAGCCCCAAAACGGATCCTTGTGGGAACCCACTGCTTATTGTGAGAACTGTCCATTGATTCCTACTCTTTGCTTCCTGTCATTCGACCACTTTTTAATCCAGAAGAGAGCCCGTCCTCTTATCCCATGACTGCTAAGTTGACTCAGGAGTCTTTGATGTACCTTGTCAAAAGCCGTTTGAAAACCCAGGCATATAATGACTACTGGGTCACCACAGTCTACATGCTTGTTCACTTTAGCAAAGAATGCCAAAACGTTGGTGAGGCAGGACTTCCCTTTGCAGAGGCCATGCTGATTTTCCCACAGCAGGCTTTGCTCCTCTATGTGCCTAACAGTTTTATCTTTGATTACAGTTCCTACTAATTTGTCTGGAACAGATGTTAGGCTGACTGGCCTGTAATTTCCTGGTTCCCCTCTGGATCCCTTTTAAAAAATTGGTGTAACATTGGCTACTCTCCAGTCTTAGAATAATAGAATCATAGAATGTTAGAGTTGGAAGGGACCTTACAGGTCATCTAGTCCAACCCCCTGCACTCTGCAGGAGCAGAGCCAAAAGAGAGCCCTACATACCTACAACATACCCGAAAGAATGTCTCCATTTTACTCAGGTCACTTTTGGTGGCTGGGAGCCCAGAGACTCAAAAAAGGGGACTCTTGAGAAAATATTTTCTTATCAATGGTCCTGGTGTGGTACAGCAGGGGTGGCCAAACTGTGGCTCGGGAGCCACATGTGGCTCTTTCACACATATTATGCAGCTTCCGGAAGGACGGCTGGGAAAGTGAAGGGGAGGCATGTCTCCCTGATCGGTCTTCCCTTCCTGGGTAGGCTTGAGGTGGGGGGAAGCAGAAAAAGAAAGGAACTTTAACTTTGAATGCATTTTCAAAGTGCACACAAACACTCCTTGCCGGCTGGCTTGGAGAGGGCATTTGTCTCTTTAAATCCCTT